TTACCAACCATCAACATTTTGCAGTCATTTTTACCTGAGATGTGCCTATACTACTGAGTGATGTTACCAAAAAAGCAGAAAGACTGAACTTGTCTCAAATTTTTCATGGTACAATTTATTCACAGTATACTTTATTTAGCTTAAACTTACTGTGGTTTTAAGCTGGGAATTATATGCAAATCTTCAATAGTTTTATGGAGAGGAGGGTATCACACAGCCTAACTCATCTGCCTGAAATAGGACCTTGGTACTGTCCCCAGAGAAGTTGATGCCTCCGGGTGAGTGAAGGTGGCAGAGTTGAAGCTGGACTGCAGGGACTGCAGAGTCTCCCAGCTGTCTGCCAGAGGGAGCTACCAGGCAGGCACCTTCCTCCCAGCACTGCTGCTGAATGCCTGACAACAGCCACAGTCAGCTGAATGACATTCAGTTCACATCAGGAATTCAAAGGCCAAAATCACTGTAGAAATATTGTGATGACCTGTAGTACTGGGAAAGGTAAAATTTAACTTCAGATCTAAACTTTATTATGGCATTAAAGGCACCTGAGCAATTGTAGCTGTCCTTCAGAGACGGAAAACAAAAAAGTCCCAACAGCTCATTTTTTTAATAATTGGAACTGCATGCTCACAATCCAATCACTTAAATATCAAAGCTGTTTCAGCATTTTTATGACACCCACAGTTATATCCCTACTGTACCTAGTATATAAATGTTACACACTGCCACTGTCCAGTGTATTTCATTACGTGGTGATATTTATACATTGCAAGATGACTGTTAGGTGTAGAGAATCTGAAGACCTCAAGATTACATCATCAGAGTCCCTTACTACAGAGTTAAATCTCCTGTGAAATTCCTACCCTCCAGAGTCCTCCCAGCAGCTGTATTCCTTGCCTGAGGTCTGAAGGGTGCTAGATCAGAGAGGGTGCTAGCTGAAGGATTTTAACATACCACAGCTTAAGCTAATTGAAAAATCCAGTATTGTAGGCAGAGTTCAGTTGTGGTCTGTGCCCCCACTTTCCAACTGTCCTGCCCTGCCTACACCAGACTGCCTCACCCAGCCAACTGAAAACATAAACTTTGTTCTTTTCAATTTTCTAGCAATGTTAGTTTTCAGATGGATCAGGGAGCAAAATTGGTATATGCCAAGGCTGAGCAATTCTGAGTCCTCATGCAAGGTCCACAGGTGAAAACAGGTCTCCCCTTACCCCCTCATGTCTGGAGGTGCAGTCTTAGATTAGCTCCAAGTTGGTCTTTAAACCCAACTCCAAGGCATCTTAGAAGCTGTGTATTGCTGTAGTGAACAAATTCAGTGTTGCATGTGTTTCTCTGCTCTTCACTTTTAATAGAAACTACCTTTTTCTTTCCAGGAGGGATGCTTTGGAGTTTGATATTATTCTGTTCCCAGTCAGAAACAATTTGGCCACCCATTAATGAAAGTAGAACCAAACAAAGTGCCTTTCTCTTCCCATACTGAATTCAGTTAAAAAAGATTTGTAAGCTTTATCAGTATCTGAAGAACAACAATTGCTCTAATCTTCGCTGGAAGGCATGGCTGGGTGATTTGTTTGTCTTTCACAGGCACAGGTGGCTAACAAGTGCTAGAGAAGACATACACACAATGTTATGAAACACAGAAGATTCACTAACAGATTTTCATTTTTAAAATAATTGCCTTAAAACTGCCAGGGGTAGGATCCCAGCCACTACATGCTACTTGTCTGAACGCTCTGCTTCCTTTCAATGGGAACGATACAAATGAGCAACAGCAGCTGCAAAGCATCGTAAGGGCTCTTGAGACTGACTTGAGCTGAGCAACAACCAAACCAAAAGCTCTCAGTGCCACCTCTGTCTAGCTGGAGATGTTTGTTTCTTCTCCTGCAATTATGTCCTAAATATGGCAGTACTGTTTCACATGCCTCAGTGCTCTCCCCATTAGCTGTGAGTAAGGCACAGGAAGTACTTTCCAATTTTTTGCTTTCCCTTCTCCCCCAGACTTGTTTAGGACAAAAAATTCCCAACTGTCAAATCTAATTAAAATGTCGTGAAACTCACAGTGTACAAGGGCATGTAGTGATAGGACAAAGGGCTTTAAACTGACAGGGGGTGGATTAAAACTAGATAACTGTGAAGATGTTCTTTATTGTGAGGCTGGTGGGATGTTGGCATGGGTTGCCCAGAGAAGTTGTGGCTGCCCCATCCCTGGCAGTGTTCAAGGCCAGGCTGGACAGGGCTTTGAGCAGCCTGGTCTAGTGTGAGGTGTCCCTGCCCATGGCAGCAAGGTTGGAACTAGATGAGCTTTAATGTCTCTTCCAACCAAACACATTCTGTGACTCTGTGATTCATGTACAAAAACCCTAACAACCACATGATGGAAATTGCCCCTCTCACTACATGTCAAAGCAGTGCTGAAGTCCCAGCGTTGATGCAAAGACTATTTTTAGTGTTCACAACAGCTCTGTAACTGTCTCTCTAGCATAGGGATATATGCTTGCCAGTAGCTTGAGGCATTCTATGTGTATTTTGAAAACAATGTGAAGCTCTGCTCTTCTGCAGTATTTGAGATAAGGAGGAGCTGTGAGGTGAATTGGCTAGATGCAGAGGCACGCTGCTGCTCCTAAGCTGCATCAGGCTATCACATGCTAAAGACACCCGTGTAACACAGCATCAGGCTTCCTTGGTCCCCTGTGGAGGCTATTCTGCAGCTCAAACAATAAGGGGATGTGAGCCTCAAGAGAAGCGGAAACTACTAAGAAGTTCTGAATGCCCATGAATGCATACAGCACAATACCAAATGCAGAATCCCAAATGAATTTCTTTAAAAGGAAAACAAATCTCAGTAACCACCTCAGGTTTGTAAAAGGAGGGCTTTTTTTTGCACGGTTACTTTTCAGGAGAGGCGCTCAGATATTAAGAGGACAGGTGACTCAGAAATACCACACGTTTACAATTCTACTCTTTTATAGTCTCTTCTGTAAAAAGATGCCTGACTACTTTATAAGCCTTGACAGATTGAGGATTTCAACATCCTGTTAGGTCAGATGACCGCAACATAATATTCATATTACAGATAAAATAAGACACTTTCCCACAGTCGTAAAGCACAATCAGAAACACCAAGCAGTCCAAGCTTTCCTTGGAAGTTACATGGTTAGCTGGAACCTGCTCAACATATACCAAGTACCAGCATTCACATTCAAATCCAACCCTGCTTCTACATCCCTCTCTGCTTCTTTTTCTATACATAAAGCCTTATCTCATAACTCTTCGTATGGAGAACATTTTTTCTCCAGGCAGTGGTGTTCTCTGTAGTGTGTGTGATTTCTCCCCCATCAATGATGCCTGGAGCATAAGAAAGATGGGAAATGCTAGAGAACTAGCAGCAACCTGACAATCCTTGCCACCACTATCAGACAAATGCGTTCTGGCATAAAACTCATCCTACCATGACCTGGAAAATAGCACCATGACCATGGCTGACTTTGGATCAGAAATTTTAGCTACTTGGATGGCATCAGTTAATGACAGCTGCTGGGAAGGAGGTGCATGTGCTGGTGAGTGCACTTCTCAGTGTAGTAATGAAAATGTTTTGTATTCCTATATACAATATGTCAATTACTTGGGAAGTGTATGCAGAACATCTACAGTACTGTAAAAACTCACAGTTCCCTCAAGAAAACTAAGCTACCTTATCAAAAACCAAAGCTCATGCAAAAGCCTTGTCTTGCCTTCTTTCAATTACACAAACATGAAAACAAACCAGAGCAGCAACCTTCACTCAAGAAGTGACTCTCTACTCGAAGGTTTCCAAACAAAATCAGCTGCATGGCATATGCTGCCAAAACAATAGCTACCAGATTAACAGATGGTATATTGTGAATTAAACGTTGACACAAACCCCAGACATACCACTCAGTCCTCTCTTAACACTAAAACTTACTTCCCTATTTTTCTCACCTCGTGATATTTACACACAGAAAATACCTCTACATTTATGCTTGTCCCCCGCTGCCTCCACGGCTGCAATAATCAGATGCTCCACCGAAGCCCCTTCACACACCATCCAGATACGAAGAAGCATGAGCTGCAGTTGGTGAGTCCAGAACTACGTATGTACGAATCCACCAGCTGGCTGCAGCTGGATTGCTGTGATACTGTCCCAACACATCTCAGTTCTGCCCGCCTGTTACCTAGAGGAGCACTGCTCTGGGTCTCTCCCCACCCTAGAGGTATTGGATTTTCCAAAAATTTAAATTTATACTCTTCTTTCTAAGGCATCTGGAATTGCCTGATGGCGTCCAAGTCGGCATGATACACGGATTGACTCCACAACTTGTTAGAGTTGCATCAGGCAGAGACAGACAGGCAGACAGGAGCAAGCAGATGTTATTGCATGGGCTTTGTTTCCTCTGGACTCCAGGTAATTGATTTTACTCATTAGAATCAATACAAAACAAAACACAGACCCAAAGTGTCATTTACATAACCATACGTTTCCAGATGCCTGAGCCTGGACAATAGGAGGCTGAGACACCTTCCCACTCTACAACTACCTGAAAGCAAGCTGTAAGCGGGGTGGGGGTCAGTCTCTTCTCCCAGGTAACAAGCGATAAGACAAGATGTAACAGCCTCAAGCTGTGCCAGGGGAGGTTTAGATTGGATATCAGGAAAAACGTCTTCACAGAGAGGGTGGTCAGGCACTGGAACAGGCTGGCCAGGGCAGCGCTGGGATCACCGTCCTCGAAGCCTCCACAAACCGTGTGGATGAGGCTCTCAATGGCATGGTTTAGTGTTGGTCTCGGCAGTCCTGAGGTTTTGGTTGGACTTGATGATCTTAAAGATCTTTTCAAACCTAGGTGATTCTGTGATTCTACAATTCTTCCGACGTAGCCTCAACCCCGGGTTTACCCTGTGGAGCGCTTCTCGGCGGCGTAGACCGATGTAAATACGCTCCCCCCGCCTCCGCCCGGGTCAGTCGCCTGAGGGGACGGGCAGGACGGGGCGGAACGCCGAGGGGAGGTACAAGTGCGCAGGCGCAGGGCGCTAAACCATTCTCCCGCCCTTCGGGAGGCCTTGGCGGTGGGAGGGGGTGAGTTGTGGTGCGAGAGGGGCGAGAGGGGCGTGTGGGGCAGCGCGGGGCAGCGCGGGGCAGCGCCGGGCAGCGCCGGGCAGCGCCGGCTGTCGGCGGGGAGACCTCCGTCACCTTCCGCCTCCTAAGGGGCCGTGCGGAGCATGGCGGTGGCCTGGTCTTCTGTTTGTGTCCCCGGCGGCCCAGCCGGGGTTTTCTTCTGAGAAATTCGCCCCTTCGTACGCGGAGTAAAGCCCCCTGACCGCCCTGGAGGAGGTTTCCGTCCTTACCCTCGCTGTTTGTGCTGATCGGAGCCCGGCTGGGCGACTGGGGTTCGCGTGTGTGCTGGCGGTGTGCATTACAGTGCCCTGTGCCCATGTGGTCGCGTTTAGCCGACCTCCTCGCTGCCCTGACCTCCCTGCAGTGACCGGGGCCTTGCCGAGTTGAGTGTGAATCCTGCCCGCGGGTCCCCGGCTGTGCTCTGCTTGTGTGAGCTACGGGGCAGGGGTCGTAGCACCGCTTCTTCTCTGCCCCTCGGTAAGCGGGGTTAGACAGGGGTGTGTTTTGTTCACCTTCGCTCAGGTGGCATTTTGCAGAAGGCCTTGCGTGTAAAAGTGAGACCTGAGTCCTAGAGCTGCTGGGAGGGGTGGGGGGGTGGATTGGTTGACTGCACTACAGGGGGGTGTCGGCTGTCATGTCATATGTAAAGTTTAAAGAAGAAAGGAAGAGTGTTTGCTGGCTTTGTCTTTTTTAGCCAGAGCTACTTGATCTGTGGGTTAACTAAAGCATTAGTCAAAGACAAGCAAAAACTCCAGTTATCAGGATATCAAGATTGAAAGTCAGTGTGCTTAAGCTGGGAATGTTAGTAACACCAAAGGCAGTCGTTGATACATATATACAAAGTAAAATTCATGCTGTAAGAACACATCCTGAGTGAGAACTTATGCTTGGTGAATGTAGTTTGGGGTTTTTTATAATGACATCTACTTTTTACTCTGTTTTTAGGAAGTATTCAACATTAATTAAAATGTCTTCCACCAACTCTCCAAATGCAAGTGAAACACCCAAAGAGAGAAAACCAGGATTGAGAACTGTTCAGACAACTATGCTCTTCCGAGCTGTGAACCCAGAGCTTTCCATTAAACCTGTAAGAGGCTCATTCTGAGGGAAATGAAACAGGCTTGGAGAGACAGGGTTGCTGTAAAGTTGTCATTGCTATTTGTGTGCATTATATAACTGTCGTTATGCAAAGCACTCAGTAATGTAGCTAAAAATATTTTTACTTTATTTCACTCTGATTGTTATGAGCTCAGAACACTACATTGTTTATTCCAGCTTTTATTTCACTGCTATATTGTCTAATCCTTTTATACCTAGCCAAGTTACTAACAGAAAGACTGTCTACAGACATATTACCCATGTAATTTGACAGGTTAAGTAATAGGAGTCCTCTTTAATGTTTAAAAGGGAACAAAACAAAAGTGCAGGCTTTGTGGTGGGGGGTGGTGGTGGTGTGGATTTTTGGTACCTTTTCAATATTTTTTATTTTTGTTGCTTTTATAATTAAGTTGAGGATACTCAGGTTTTATTTGCACTTGTGCAACCCAGCAAGACTGGATGAAATTTTATGCATGTAATAGAATCAGATTCTGTGATAATACATCCTGTGTTTTTACACAGAATCACAGACTGGTTTGGGTTGGAAGGGATCTTACAGATCATCTGGTTCCAACCCTCCTGCCATGGGCAGGGACACCTTCCACTAAACAAGTTGCTTGTCTCAGTAGCATGCTCAGATGAATTGTTAGAAGTTTGCATTTAGTTACCTTTAGTGGTAGGTTTTGGCCTGTTCATTCGTGCTGAAGCAGCATTTGGGACCAGCAAAAGACACAGCACTGGAAAATGCCATGTTCTGTCTCCAGAGAGGCTTCTTTTTCAAAGGGAATTCCTTTTGCTGTTAGAAAATTGAGTCTCCCTTCTTGCTGGTTATCAAAGTCATCTGGATCAGTCTGCTAGAAAGCAATGATAATTCTTGCAGATAGGTATCACAGCCATTTACTGTTCACTTTCTTAGCCAAGACAGAAGAATGTGTTGAACAAAGAAATGTTTTGACTAAAGACAGATACTGATTAATTTTTTTTTTGTCAGAACAAGCCTGTGATGGCATTTGGGCTCATAGCAATTACCCTCTGTGTGGCCTACCTTGGTTATTTGCATGCAACCATAGAGAATAAAAAGGACCTCTATGAAGCAATCGACAGTGAGGGGTCCAGGTATATGAGGAGGAAGACTTCCAAGTGGGACTGAGAACGTACGGAAGGAAATCAGCAAATCAGTAACAGGACTTTGCCAGGCAACTACTATTTTTTTTTCTCTGTCCCTTGAAATAATGGATAAATGTCTCTCTTGCTGTTCAGTCCAGTTCAAATTCCTTTGTAAAATGCCTTACCTGTACAAATGAATTGCAATTGAGATACATGTGAACATAAAAGTGGCTTTAAGAACTGTTGTCTGCAAACTCCACGGCCTGTCAGAAGACGTGAAATTACCTCGGGCATGCAGTCAAGACAAGTAAATGCCTTAGAAATGCACATGATATTTCAGCTTGTTTTCTCTTTGCTTTGAGTGAAAACAGGGGTTTGTCTTAATTTTTAAACAGAAGTGTAACGCATTGTGTGTGAAAAGAAAAAGTTGATCTCTTGATCTGTTGAAAGTTAACAGGTAACAGTGCAAGTGAAATAATTTTAAGGCAAGAAAGATCTGATAGTCGTTGGAGGGTTGTATTTAATAAAAGAATTTGTAAAATACTGACCAAAGTATTCCTTGGATGATAATATACTCTTCCTTACAGACAGAAAAAAAACCCAGTAAGTAAAGAAGAAAAAGCGAAAGGACTGCTTCTGCCAAGGGAAAGGCAGGAAGAACCCAGCTGTGACCTTTCCTGTTTGGCAGAGTAGAGCAGATCTGAACCTACCAATATGAGCTTGCCAGTAGCTATGTATAACTCCAGGTTAGCCAGAGGTTGTGCAGTGTTCTTGACTAGTCATCAAGTCTGGTTTGTTCAAGCTGATTTCAAAAATTAAGTTTCTCTGTATTGCAGAGTATGTTATATAACACTAATTTATTGCAGGCTACTAAACTCAAAATAGGGAATGGAAAGTCTAAAATCAACAATGAAAAGACTGTTATTACAATGACAAGACTGCATCCACCTGAACAATTCCAGTCTTGCCAGACAGCCTTGTGGGTGGATGTGAGGCAGCCCATTGGCAGTGGGCTGGTTGGTGCCACTGTGAGCCTGGCTGCTATGGCATTGCCTTAGCACAAGAGAGGGTTCCCATGAGCACACTGTACAAGTGGGTGCTGTCCTGTTCTGGCACAAAGGCTTTCTACGAGCTTCTCCAACTGCTTCTGTGTTTCTGACATGTCCTAGATGGTATCTCATTAACCAAACTCCAGAGCATGTGGTGGGAGGGCATATGCTGTGGAAAAGTGCCCTTTTCCCACTGTGGACCCTCATTAATGTTCTTGGTTGTATTTTTCCATTCAGCTACCTCATATTTACAGCCCCATCAAGTGCTCCCAAGAAGCTGAGACCTGTTTCTTAATCCTCTTTTGGCCAAAGTGGCTTCTGTCAGGCCAAAGAAGAACGAACATGCAGTGACATCTGTTTGCCACTCTAGGAATTGCTTTGGGTTATGTTACCAAATGGTTTTGTTACTGAAGATAAGAAAGATGACACTGCCTAAGAGCTCTATTCTCTTTATTTCCCTACAAATCCTTCACATTGAACCTGTGATTTTCCTTGTGTCTCTGTTTTATAGTTACCTGTATCCTAAATTCAGCTGAGCCTTTGTTACTTCCTGCCTAAGGAGGGAACTGACTTCTACCTTTGAAAAGCTATAGAAACAAAGCCTTTAAAAACATATTCCCCTCTGCCTCACAGCAACAAGGTCCCAGGCAAGTCTGAAAGCTTGCAGGTGAGGAAACCACTTGCCTTTCGATTGGTGAAGGAATTTCCAAGTGAATCATAGAATTGATCAGATATTCAGAACTATCACATGCTGTGCGTATCCTGTGGAATATGTTTCATTTGATAGAATGTGATGGGTATGTAGAACCCATTTGTTTTTGTTTTCAAACGGGTCACACAGGATTTCAGCTCTTTTCATTTCATTAAAATGCACAAGTCTGGTATGTTTGCATGAATTAAAACAACTCCAAACCCAGTGCTGCAGTAAGCGTGTTAACCTGGTTTTCTGCAGGCTTTTAAAATACACACTTTGATCCTTATACCTGCAGATGATTTGAAGTGAGAAAACCCAGTCTCTTGTTTTCACATATTTGGGAGTAATGGCTCTCAAAATTTTGAATTGTGAAGTGAATATGGATCTGGAAGGATCTGAGGAAAAGGAAGTGGGGGGGTATGAAAGATAAAGGCTGGGATTGACCTGGGCAGGGTCAAGACAATATGTGTGCCAATGGCACTTCATAGAAAAGCTGTCTAAGATGGGGCCTTGTAGCTCTTGGCTGGAGTCAAGTCCTGTTAACCAGATTAATTTAAAACTGCCCAGGCTGAAGGAACACTATTTAAATTTGTCCCTATTATTAAGGAGAGTCTGTTTTTTTGTGTCAGGTGCTGCATAGGTAACTCAATGCTACAAAAATTGCATATAAAATGGAGATAAAGCAGTGCGAGCACAGAGAATAATGTAATTAATGTGCGTTATAGTATCAATACTGGCATTTGCTGTTGTAAGTAACTGATTTACGTCATAAACACTGTGTATTGGATTAAAGGGGAAAAAACCCACCCAAACAGAGCTCCATTCATAGCAAAATTTGTTGGCTCAGCTCTGAAAGCACAACTCTTATACACCTGGAGGAGACACAAACAGCGCCAATACAATTTCTTTTGTTTGGCTTTTCTCAATTTCACCTTCAATACAGTAAGAATTATCAACAGTGGATGATAGGTGGCTTGACAGGAACTGAGAGTCAAAATGATTTCCCAGGCAGAGGCTCTGCCAGGATTTTGCTAATTCCTTACTGTATGTGCTGGCTTTCTCATCTTTACCAAGAGCAACTGAACTCTATGATTCAAATACCTGAAGCACCAGCTATTATGCTGCTCCTAAAATCTTAGCTTACATGGTTTGAATAGGAATTGGCATTCAGCAACAACGAAACAAATGTAAAAAAGACACTGAAAAGGCAAAGCCTGCTGTGACACTGCTCAACTATTACCGGGAAAGCTAGTTCTTTGTGAGCAAAGCCAGCCCTGCCCGGTAACCATTGCTCTGCAGAGAGCTACATTCAGGCTGGAAGGGGTTACTTCACTAAACCCTCTCTCATCATCTGCCTGCAGCATGTTACTGAGCTGTCAGCATGTGTGAATCCTAACCGGAAGGCAAACATTTCATCCAACTGGGTAAGAAGTAATGGCCAGTGATTTTTCTTTCTTCACCAGCTTGCATGTTTTCTGTAGCAACAGTTAAGTGTTTTGCCTGCCAGCAAGAGATGTACCAGGAATAGAGTTCTGACATTGTAGCAACTGTATTACAGGAAAACACCAGAATGCCACAATGATTAGAAATCCTGATCTGCACTCCTTCGTATGTTGTGCTGCATGTTCAAAAATAGTACCACCACCACCTTCCAATGCTACTTTTGATCGGATTCGGGAGTATAAGCCTTTCATAACAAGGTATTACACTCATCGTGATATACTGGGTGAGTTTGCTTCTGAAATCTGTTCCTTGCAATCTGAGATTTAGGAAATCTCCAAGAGCTGTTGTATCCATCTGTTCTTGATGGTCATGAAGGTGTTCACGTCTCCGTAACAATGAGCTGTGCTTACCTTCTGGATCTTAATAAGTCTAGTATATTCAGGGTCAGTTGTCCTGTGGTGCATGACGGTGTTGAGACTTGGGCATAGTGGAGTCCAAAAGAGATTCAGCTCTAAGACCGTTAGCAAATGTTTTCTAAGCTTCAAGTAGTTTGGAAAGAACTATGTTTGACTTAACATATGCAAAGGTCATTCCCTTATCCTTGACCACAGCACAGGACAACGCTGAGATATTTTATCCTGAATCCTACCTTCTTACACTTGATTCAGCTGCTGACCTTAGGTTGAGGCTTGTAGATTCTCTTGAGGTTTGATGTTTTTGTTGGCATGTCACAATCATAACCTCAATAATAAAGGAAATTGTGGTAGCATTCATACTTTTGAGGATCTAGCAAGAATCTCAAGTATCTTTATATGCTATGCCTAATTGTCAGAGAGGTTTCTGATCAGTAACATTAGGTAGAAATCATCTTGTGCATTTTAATTAAAGTGCATTGTGAAGAGCAGCATGCTTGGTTTCTATTTCAAACAATATAAAGAGGTTATCAGTGTAATGGGAGCCTGGGCAGAGGGATGAGTGCCCCGCATGTGCTCGGAACATGAAGCTTCAGTCCTGCATTACACACACACAGCGTGAAACACGTCAAGAAGGCCAGAGAGTCTCTTTAAATTATTTTCTTTTTACTGCTTAATATAATGGACTGGGGGAAAGCTGTGCATTCAGGGCACAACATGCTTGTTGCTAGGCTTTCTGCACTGTTGGACTTCTGTTTTGTTGATTTGAATCAGTAGACCCCTTTGTCCCATCCTGCTGCTGTCTTCCATGTACTTCATGTGAGCTCTGTGGGAGGATTCTGCCCACCCATGTGGAGTGGGGAAGAAGACTGGAGTGAAAGAAGGAGGGAAATTTAATCCTCCACTGGCTATGTGAAAGCTGGATCTCCTGTGGCTCTACTTCTTAATTTTCCTTTATAATGACACAGAAAAATGTGACTCTTTGGCCCCGTCAAGCACAGAGAATGGGATCCAAAGCAATGCCCAGGCTTGGCACTGAGTAGGAAAGATGGAGGCTCTGAAATCCCACTGTTGGGGGGGGAATGTTATGTTTGAATTGTAGAAAGGCATCTTTATCCAATTCCCTTCCACTTCACTTAGTCTCCATCCATGTTGCTAAGGGGAGCATCCTTGGTGCTGGCCCTGTGAAGCAGTGTGGCTCACCACCATGCTGCTTTGCTCCACCTTTCTAGGAGGGATCAGCTGTGTCTGCAGTGCTGGGGCTGCTTGGACCCTGGTCAGATGCAGCAAGTGCAGGGACAGAAGCATTCCTTTGTATGTGCCTGGTCTGTTTCAAAAACCTGGAATATTCTGTATCTTCCTGAGGGTATTTATTGTGTGCGCCAAGAATGTCATAAAGGAATCTGGGGGCATCTTGGGCAATAGACCTCTCTGAAAGCCTTGGGGGACTGAGGACCCAGGGAGCCTGAGAAGGCACCGACTCACCTGTGGCATCTAAAGGAAGCAAAGCTGTCCCCCAAACTGCTGCAACTTCAGTCACAGACAGAAATGGGTGAATCACTCCCAGGAAAGCTGAGGACTGACCAGCTTGTGCTGTGCAGATAGCCATCAGAACAAGGGGTCAGGAGGTACATCTGCAATGCTCTCCTGTTCTGTAGCCTTGTCTAGGAGGCAAGACTTGGGTTCGGCACCTTCCTATTATATTTACAGAACTGCACAAGCAATAATAATTGTAGTTTCACCCTCATGTGAGATGAGGGTACATGTTTTTTAGCCTTTTGATTTTTAATTCAAGTGTGGAGCCAAGCAAAGGGGTGGGGAGAGAGGCATGGAGTTCTGCACTGTGATTGTCTGCTGTGCATGATCAGCTTGTGTTGACTGTGCAGAGATTGGAGCGCACATTGAACAAGAAAAATATGAAAAGAAGGAGGCAGAGGTACGAGAGTACATTGAGAAAATGAAAGCTGAAATTTGGTCCCAGGTAAATTAAATTATTCTCCCATCATTTTAATAATGATTATCCTTTGGAATAATTGCTACAGTATAATGACAGTTAATAAAGAACTTTGGGGTCACTGCTTTAGAGCTGTCATTAGTTTCATTTCCTCCTTTGTTCACAGATTTCTGTGTGCACATACTTCTGTCATTTCTGATCACAGCAAAGCATACTTTGAATTGGTAACAGATTTTACATCTGGTCTGAAAACGGCCTCTAAAGCACACAGAAGTTACCCGTTGTTAAAGCTGTTCCCCACAGTGCTATGCAAGATTGACATGTATGTTAGATACATGTATCATGCTTACAGCTGTGGCAGCTCAGTGCTATTGTGAGGACACATTTGAACAGGAATCACTGCAATAAAATTGCCAAAAGGGCTACAATGGATTTTGCTACCTGGTTTTAAATTTAACTTGCTCTGATTTCTTAAATAGCAAATAGAGAACTATTGTTTATGTAACCTCTGCTTCTTCTTAATAGGATGTTAATAGAATGTCAGCAGTTATACTTAAATAATAACTTGTTTTAAAGGCTGAAACACTCAAGGAAGATGCAGTGGAAAAAGCCCTCAACGAGGCAGCCGCTAAACACAGTGCATTTGTACACGACCTTCAAAAAAACTTTGAAAAGAAATTAAGGGTATGAACCAGTTTGTTTTTCTTACCATGGAAATAGCCAGCAGGACAGAAGCGTGTGTTTGACAATCAAGAATGTCATTCTGTGTAAAATAAATACATATCTTTTTAAATGCTTGCTATAACCAGAAACTTCATTCATCTGAGATTTGAACTCCAGTCTTGAACTACTCAGAAGTACTCGGACTGACGGATGACTGCCTTTGTGGTAGATGAGATATGAGCTTGAGTTAACTGGATTTCGAATTAACTTTCAGCACGTTTCACTCTTCTTTTTATATTTTTAATTGAATGAAGATTGTGAACTTTGTTGAAAATTCCTTGTCAGGCCTTGATTCAGCCAGCCCCTGAGCTGATCTGGTGTGTTTCTTAGAGGCAGTTAAATATGGGCTTAACTTTAAATCTGTCCTCAAGTTTCATGTCCATCAAAGCTACAAAGATGTTTAATTGATTTGCTGAGCCTGCTGAATGGAGTGGAGGGGAAGGAAAACTGCCAGCATATGTATATTCCTAAATGAAGCACACTAACTGTAGCCTCGAATTTTTATATATGTTTAGCACATGTTTTATATGGCTTTTTGGATATCTGAGAAAAGGCTCAAAGATATACAGAGAAAGGAAGGCAACTGCCTTCTGGATCTTAGCCTTCCTGCTTTCTGTGCGGCTTCACAGGGCTTTTTGCTGTTAGAGCATCCAAGTGCTCCTCAATCAGGCATTACGCAGTCCGTCTAATGCTTTTCATCCTTAGTCTTGCAGCTTCCCACCGGCAGATGAAAGGCCCAGAGAGAATTGCGGGAGTGTTTTCCTTTGGAATTTTATTTTGTACAAGTTTCTAAATAGCTATCTGTTCATACTGAAGGCAGTCAAAGCAATGTGCTTGGCATCTTAAGAGGAAAAGCAGGGAGGTTTACAGTGGTCTTAACTTTCTGTTAGAGTTCATTCCATTTTATGGAGTTATTTTCCAAGGGAGCTCTGTCTTTTGCTGTCAAAGCATCTGGCAACAATAGTTGCCAGAAGCTTAGTTCCTTGTGATTAACGATTCAGTTACTTGCTATTATACATCTTTTTAGACTGTGTTAGACTATTATTATAGTCTATTACAGATCTTCATAGATCTTAGTGCTCATAGATCTGAGTGCTGGGGATTGTTTAGACATTTGTCCTGGCAACATGGGCTCCAGTGACTGAGGACAAGGGAGCAAATACGGAATGCTACAGGTGAAACAAAAGAAGAGGCAGATATAACTAAAGTAATTGTGAGATATTTGAGATTTGGTGGGGTTTGTTTCTTGCAGTTCATTTTAAGAGGTATGTAAAGAGTGAGCTAAATGCTCACTAGCAGTTAGCTTGCAGAGACAATGGCAGAAAATTTACTCAACTCCTGTCTAAGCGAACAGATAGTGGCAGCTAACAAAGCGTATCACTGAGTGACTGAAGTGGGGTTTTTACCTGTAGGGAAGGTCAAAGACAATTGCTTTTAGCTGATAGCCTCAGGAATGGCTTTTTTGCAGCAGTACTGATATGGCCACCACCATTCATGGTCAAATGGTTTTAGCCAGGTTTCCTGTCGGCATGTGGGCTTGTGAAGAAAATACGTCAGGGAACTTTTTCTGCCTTATGTAGAAAACATGGGTGATGTAGGTGTGGTATGATGTTACAATAAGTCACTGTAATTGCCCCATAATATGTTTCTGAAGTCTGTTCTGCTGGGTGTTGCTGGGGATTGTTTAAAGACAACTGAGCAAAAAGCTGTTGTCACTACTTACATCTACTTTTAACTTTGCTTAAGGAAGAGGTGATGAAGGCAGAGGCAGAGATGCAGTTGTACATGGAAGAACAGCAGAAGAGAGAGGCAGAAGCTGCAGAGCAGCACATGGCTCACAGACTTCAGAGGATCCTCATGGAATGTGCCCAGGACAAGACCCGAGCTGTGGCCAAAGCCAGAAAACAGGAGAGGGAGGCAGCCTTTCAGGCAGCACTCACTCTGCACAGGTGCTGTTAGTGTTTCCTCTGACTTGGGTGGCAAAAATGCTGTTCTAAATGATTGGAATTGCATCAGCATTGCTCAGATGCAGGTCTCCTAGGAAAAGATCTGTAGACCCTTCAGAAAAAAATGTATTTGGAAATGACAAGTGACCAGCAAGAATTGCAGGCTCACCCTCTCTCGCTGATGCACCAAGTAAAAATGAAATATATTTTGTTTCTAAAAGCAAGTATCACAAAGCCAGCCAATGATCCAAACGTTTTGGGGTTTGTAGCTGATTTAGAGTCATCATAAGTAAAGATCTCAGGGCCTACTGTGCCATTCCTGACATCTATGCAAAACTCAGATCTGCAGGGCACAGGAGATTCTACCTGTATAAATTAAACATTGTGAATTAAATAGCTTTGATGTCAAAATAATAGCACACCCCTCTCCCTTGAGAGTAGAATACATTTAATTTTTTGACAACATAGACAACAAAATGTCAGTATCACAATGAAAAGATCAGTTCCGGTGTGTTCCTTTGTAAGATATTTTTCATTTTCTGAACAGTCACACTTAAGTTTTGATCCATTATTTAATACCTTTGTTTTCACTATTAAAACATGCCCCTTCTGCCAAAGATAAATGACATTCCACATAAACTTAACTGGTCTCTTTAACTTCTCATGTTAGCAGAGTTCTGCTAAAATATCTCCAGCAAAGTGGAGAGAGCACAAACAGAGGGCAGAAATTGTTTTCTCTACATCAAAGTATTTGGGTCAGTAACCTTTACGGATGCCTGATGCACCATTATTTGTGTATCCCTGAGCCAGCTCTGGTGAATAGCACCCATAATGTTTTGACTACATAATATAAATTATATTTGTTACTGACACGCTGGCACAAAAATGTTCTCAGTAACATTTAAACAAAATTATGGATGAGTCTGTAGTCTAGAAATCAGTTGTTAGATTTGACTTCAAGGCAGCATTTTAACCTGGGGGCCGAATTGTCAAAGCCTATTTCAAAACCAGTGTGTACATAATTCTCTTAACGAAAGAATTCAGGTGTCTCACTCAGAGAGAGACCTGAATGAAGAGTGAAATACTGATCCTTTATATTTTTCATTTCATCATGAAATTATTGCTAGATATGACACACACAGAATCTTCTGCAGCTTCCTTTCTCTGCATTATCAGTAGCCTTCTTTTACCCTATTTTATTTCAGATGTCCTATATCAAGTTCTGATTTCACGTATATTTATAGTTGAATAAGAGAGTTTTTACAACAACCTAAATAGACTTAAATTGTTTTTTTCAATAATCTTTAGTAACACGTGTTCCCAACAAATCTTTTCATCATTTTCTTCTTTCAAATAGAATGTGCTCAGAACAACTTAAAGAAGAAATTAGGTTAGCTGAGGAACAATATCATAAGAGTATAGAGCAATTAAAAAAAGAAAAAGATCGTGAGATTCATATTGTCCGGAGTATCATACAAAAAGAGAGTGAGACTGAGACTGAAAAACAGCCTGAAAAAGCAGAGACTTTACAGGTTGGTGAGCTGGAAAAAGTTACGGTTATGCTGAAAGCAGCAGAAGAACAGATAAAGACTCTCACACAAGAACTGGAAAAGGTGACAGAATGGAAGGACATCCTGGAAAATGAAATACAAGCAACAAGACAAACCTTTCAAAGGTATATTGATGCCACGTTTCCTAGCCTGTCCCCTGGACAAGCAGATTTTATTTTGCCATTCAGGGAAGCATTTCAGCAGAAGGACACACCAGAAGCATCAGAGGACAGTGACAGTATAGGAGAACTAGTATCCGAAGTGTGAGATTCACAGCCATGGGTAAACAGAACTACAAACAGGCAATGCTGAAAAATAAAGTCATTTCTGCTCACTGAATTACATTATTGTGGTTAGAATGATACAGAGAAAAATGACTACCACTGTATTAAATAATTGGTGAGCCATGCTGACAAATTATCGGTTAATTTTTGTTTCACAAATGCGAGGTTGGAACAGGTAACGCTTGAGGAGCTTCCCACTGAGTCCTTCTTGAGAAGGAAAAAGGCAGAAAAATCTACGAAAATCTCAGTTAAGCACGAGCGCTTGGACTTTGAGGACTGTTGGCTCTGCCCCTGAATAGTTGGGTGTGGAATAAGACACGCAGGCTTTGAACAACTGCACCTCAGGTTCCGAGATTTACAGGGTGGTTATTCAATGCAGTGGTGTGTACGTCTATGTCTATGTAAAGTCCCTGCAAGTGAGTGGCTACATGATCTGAAAACTCACCTGGCTTGAGAGACAGCTTTTGAGGAAAAAGTGTGTGCCAGCAGGCATGCAAAATAATTTTCCCTTGGGAGGACTCAGGTTTATCTATTCACACGTGCCTGAAGCCTGCATGGCTTTAGGCCAGCCTCAGTACACTGATTTGTTCCGAGATTGTGCCTGCCTAAACAGCTGATTTGCCTTCACTGTGTAGTAAGACTTCCCACAGCATTTGCTTAATGTTCACTAAAGCTTTATGTCTTTCTTGTTACCTGTTAATCTAAAAACACTGCACAGCATCTAGAGTGTAGCTGAAGAATGTAAAGGAGCTGGTATTTACTGTAGGTGATAGAAAGTATAATATGGTGAATGACATACCTGTCTATAGGTATGTCATTTAAATGATTTTTTAAGAGAGCAGTCTGTACAGCCATCTTTTCCTCATGCTCAAAAACAACCCCAGAAAACCAAAAAGCAGAATAATCTCATAGATATCCATCACTCTACCAAACTAAGAAGTAAAGACAAGTGAAGTCACTGGTTTCTTCTGAAACAGTTTAATTCATATAAAATATGTTGAGCAGGTATTTGGCAGGCTCTGGCACTATTTCTGACCTACATACCTGTAAAACCTTATTCCACTGAATTGTGGAAGCTCTTGCTCTGGAGAGCTGATGCTCCCTGTTCATTTTCTCTCTTAGGTTTGCAATGAAAAGAACCCAAACTTCATGTTCACGGTTGTCTAATCAAATGGATAAACTGCTCAGAACCCAAGACAAAACTTGTGTTTGCAGCTTAAAAGCCCATCGACAGTCTGAAATACTCCATAAGATCCATAAACCATTTTCTAAAGAAAGCATTTACATATGCATTAAGCATAAAAGTCTTTTGAAACTACAGGAGTAAAATACTGGAACTAAAGTACTAGCAGCAGCATCATGCAATATCTAAAGCTGGTGAACACTCTGTTGGCTTAGCTGGTTAAAGGCTCACCTCAGTACACACCAAGGAGCCCAGAGGCACAGATGCAGCTGGGAGAACCCTAGCAAACCAGTCAGAGGAATAAGTCTCCAATCCAGCCCCTCCCGGGTCATCTCAGGAGGGTGTTAGCCCCATGGACTGGGAGTGAGACCCAGCACCAGAAGTCAATTGAAGAGGCTTTCTGGAGAGCCTTGCAGACTGAGGGTGGATACAGCCTGGAGGTATAGGACTCCCCATGGAATGCAGTGAAGAGTATCTTGAGATTGTACAAAGGTTTAGTATGGAATCTTTAGGGAACGAACCAAATGTGGAAAGGGGGATCAAGGTGTTTAGGGGAAGAATAAGTTATAAAAGAGAGGGATAAGGGGATAAAGGGGCTGGTTACATGTAAACAGGGGCTGGTCATAGATGACAATACCCTGTGTCTCATCAGCATAGTCTGTCCTGTCTTCTCATTGAACTCCTTTTCTAACTTTTCCTGGGTGCAGGGCTTTCTCTGTGTGTATGTGTGTGTGTGTATGCATGGGGCTCTACCTGCCAGCAGCTGGAGTTGGAACACAGATGACAAGGGCTTAGGGCTTAGGGTGCCAGCAATTGAGACTGGAGTGCATATTGACTGGGTATGTACGTCAGTGTGTAATCACTGTAAATATCAATGGCAGTGACTGATGCAGACCATGGCTGTCTGCAGAGATAAGTGTTCCTGTAGTGGACCTTAGTCACATCCAGACATCCAGATAAGACAAAGGGCATCTGTCAGTGCACATCCCAGGCTCCTCAAGACCAACAGCCTTGGGGGCATGGTGGGAGACAGGCAGCAGGACCTCAAGATCTGGTCAGATGTATCTATACATGTCCATACTACAGGCATGCTCTGGTGCAAGCTTACTCACCAGTGCATGCACAGCACATACTGCATGTAACAGTCTGTCAGACACTGGCATTGCTTCTTATTGCCTTTTGGAAAAGGAAAACTATTTTGATTGACTGCTTTCAAATGCCAAGGTGAAGTTGTGTTGGCTCTGCTTAGAAACAGCATGTCCTCTTCAGTGTGTGCACTTGCTTGTGTAATAATGAAGAGAGCCACAGCCTGGCCTAAGAAAGGCTGTTCAGTGTAATTGGTAGACAAGATAACAAGCACTACAATTGCTGTGGGACCTGGAGAGCCATTTGCCATGGACACAGTTTGGTGTTTCAAGGAAATATTTTAGAACACGAAGTATCTAACTAAGCCTGATTTAAGAGACTGTTTTTTTCCCTTCCAGTTGTACTCACTGCACAGTATTGATTATGGTTGACTGTTCAATTTTCATACTTTATAACTTTCTGCATGTCAGATAATTAACTAATGAAATCTGAGTACATGAACTTTTGGTAGCTAATAAAAATCGGGAGTTCACACATACAAGCGAGCCTTTCATTGCATGAAGCAGAGAGCATATGGCTTGCTTTCGTTCCTGTTTGAGAAGGATTGCAGCATAAAAAGTAACACTTCCTGCTTTACTTGTACTTGGAATCGGAGAGAGCATGAAGACATGCTTTTTGACTGAATGATACAAATAAAGAAGCTTTCAGATAACATCTGGATGCTAGGGTGCTAGTGGTGGCACATATTGATGGCAGAGTGCATGAGATAAAACCTAGAATGGGGAGCTGTAATGCTCAACAAATAATACAGAAATCAGGGTTTCTCTATTAGTCGTTCAGGGGATGTCTTATATTGGCAGAAAGTACCAGAGTCTCAGGAACAGTGAAACTTTCTGTCTAAGGCAATGCTATAAAAGACTAAAAAGTGGATTGCCTGATTACTGTAGCTGAGCAGCTGAACTGGGAGGGAGCTGTTGAGTATGGCTGATAAGCAGCTAATTAATGAACTAGAACCATCTTGCTCATTAGTCCCTCAGAGGTCTGCAGAAGAGATCTGTGATGTCCTAAAAGGAGGATGTGCAGATTGTGAAAACTCTGAATCCCTGGCATAGAGAAATGAAGTGTGAAAGAAACTAATGATGCCGGTAGCATTTGGAGCGTGAGCATTAGCTGTCTGCATGTGTGAGGCAATTAAGGAATCGAAGTGCATCACCGGCAACAGAGTGCAGAATCATAGAATCATAGAATAGTTAGGGTTGGAAAGGACCTTAAGATCATCAAGTTCCAACCCCCCTGCCATGGGCAGGGACACCTTGCTCTAAACCATATCACCCAAGGCCTCGTCCAACCTAGCCTTGAACACTGCCAGGGATGAAGCATTTACAGCCTCCCTGGACAACCTATTCCAGTGCCTCACCACCCTAACAGGAAAGGATGAATCCACTCTGTGCATAGATGTACCGTGAGACAAGGAGGCACAAAAGCACAAAATGCAATCAGTTCTAAGTAACGTTAAGTTTGATGGCTTTGTAATGGAAAATAACTGAGGTACTTGAAGGTAGTTGACATAGTTTTAGGTCCTTAGGACCTTAGTACAAAAAGTGTAAGAAAAACAGAATAGAAAAACAGGACCTGGGGATGGGAAGTATCTGAGACCAGCAGGCGTCCAGGAAGACCACCACCACATTTTTGTATGCATGTGGGAAACTTTCCGGAAAATGATGTAATTCATGTATAGCCTCATGAATGCCCAGTGACCACGTATGGCCTGAGTAGCAATACAGGGATACACGTTATGGAGGAACTATCCCCTGTGTCTCCCAGTGCCGCAATAAAGAATACCTGCTTGTCAGCTTGAAAACTTTGTTGGTGAGGTTTGTTCCAGGAGTTTTCTCCGAATCAACCAACACAGATATAAACTGAGTAATTGTGATTTAAGTTACTGATGTGATTTCCTTTGCTGGGCTTAATTAACTACAGTTCAGTGTTACGTTTGGTGCTAGTTAAAAGAATTGCATAAGCAAATATGAGTGACTAATTCCAAAATGCATCAAGTGACTGGTGGGAGATGCAGATGCTGAACAACTGGCATTAATATTGGCTAGTAGGTACAATACATGGGTGTTTTAGGGATATAGGGGGTTGCCTGGGGACTTCTCAGCAGTGACCAGAGGAAAAGACAAATTCTAGAAGGAAGACTGGGCCAACAACAGTGATAGAAATGTCCTGACAAGTGAGGAAATCTGTGCTGCCTCTATCGCTTTTTAGTGGGACTAGCAGTTAATATGTCACCTTAGCTTTTGTTGAGCCAGTGAGCAAACCAAGAGTTAGGTAGACAGATTGACTAACATCAGCTAGTAAATCAACTGCAAGGAGAAGGATAAATGAAACTGTTGTACCCCAGTTATGACATAACCTGTCCAAATCTTGGCTTTTTTTCTAGCTGATCATTAACAATTTGTCTTGTTTGTATTAAAACAGTCTCTATAACTTTGTTTTGGCTTCTTCTAGGGGTATGGCTGTCTCGTTCTTACTACTGAGACACTCAGCTATTCTAGTGAGCACCTGAAGCCCTTCTGTGACATTCCTTTTCAAATACTCAATCTGCCTGTCTGCAAGAAATGCCTATTTCTGGGTCCACGGAGTAGATGGTTCCATCTCATCCATAAGAACCATTTTCTGCTTTCCTGCTTCTATCTGAACAACCTCACCATGCGCTGTGACAAGGAAGAGGAAGCAGTTCGAGCAAATAAAAAATTGCTTCATTGTTTGTTTCTTAATGTGTATACTCTATATCATAAAGTAGCTGTTAAGCCATTATTCTTGACACTGCCTTATATTAGTCACCCCTTCTATTTAGGAGGTGATTAAATAGCAATTTATCTAAGGATAATTGAGAATGGAAACTAGGTAGCATTCAACAATATATATACACGGTCAGTAATTCTCTTGGTTATTAAAAAGATAGTGCTCTGTATAAGACCTGCTGACCTCCTGTATAAAGGCTTCTAAATAGTTCGGAATACTTTATTTGTTAATGAGAGAAATTTGATCTCCAGACAAACTGGGCTGATCCTTTCTTCTGTTACAAACCAGATTAGATGAAAACAGATTACTGTAGTCAATAGCCGAAACTTCATATGCCAGCTCACAAACCATGTGAAAGGAACTGTTTCAAAGCGTGACTCGGCTAAGGCTCTAATAGTCAGTTCGGTTCAGTAAGCTGAGCTTTGTAAGTGAAAGATAGGAATTGCTAACTTTCCTGCCAAGCAAAAGTTCTTATGCTTTTAGTTCTGCTGCCAAAAGGGGCTGTATTGGAAGGGTACCAGGGAGTTCATGGCGGACTTTGCTGGAAACCTTGCAATGTTACAGAAACCACCAGCCACCCAGTCTGCTGCGTATGGGACATGAACTGCTATTCACTGACATTATTACTGGACAATTGGAGATGCACCTGTGTGGCTGAGACCTTGATCTGTGTCTACACTGTGCAAGCTGGCACATGCTCTTGCAGGCTGGCCAGTTCTGAACTGAGCTCCATAGAGACCATCCTCTGCAAGGCTTTCACCAATGATAATGAGGAGTTGGATTTCTTTCATAGTATGCTGCGGGACCACTGTGACCTTGCCAGAGGATCCCTGGGAAGCTGCCAAAAAGACAGCAAAACTTTCTTTTGTTCCATTCAGAAGGAAAATAACCTGGGATTCTCTACACACACCACACCAGCAAAGCTCTTTCAGTACATGCCCCCAGTCTTTTTAGCTTTAAATCCAAGGTTAAGATGTTGGAATGTACATTGTTCAAAGATCCTCCTGAGCAAAAAGCTTCTAATACAGTAAAAGCCTGAAAGCCTTAGTTTCATCTGTTCCTGTGCTTGGTTCTATCTAGGCAGCAATATGTTGAGTGACTTGGAGTGGGTCTTGAAAGTCTGACAGTGAAAGAAGACATTCATATTGTTGAAAGACTGCTTGAAAGAGCTGAGCTCATTTGGAACTGAATAATAAGGATTCAAGTCTGTAAGTCTCTAGAGTCCCTCCTGCTTGCTTCTTTTTTTTTTCTTTACTAAAATAATGTTTCCTTTGAGAATACTACAACTGTGTATCTTTCTTTTCCTCTAGTTAAAAACAAAAAAAAAAAAGAAAAAAGAAAAAAAGGGTTTTGCATACTGCATTCCTGAACATAAAATCAGTATATATCTCATTTTAATTGCCTTGCAGCCTTACTTAGGACAAAAAGATCTGTACTTCTGCAATGTCGTGATACATTCTTAACTAAATGCTGGCACAGGAAGCAAACTGGAAAACCTGAGAGGTAGGTAACTGTCCAAAGACCAGGGGAACAGCAAGAACACCAC